GGAATTCATTTGTTTAGTCAATTACCAAAATTTGGATGATTTTGAATATTCACTTGAAAAGTTATCAAAGAAAAACATTTTTCATTTTGTAACTTCGAGGGCCCGTAACTTGGTTACGAAGACTTTTAGGAAAAAAAGTTATATGAAGTACTGGTGATATTTTGACCCCATCTATACATTCCCGAGAGGAAAAGAGGAAGTCCAGGGACACCCTGTATATATTCATATACATCCACTCACTCAAGTATACAAACTCTTATAGTTATTAATGTCTATCCATACATTTACGAACTCTACATAAATGAAGGAGGGGCAGCAGAAAGGGATAGAATTTTTCCATTAGTATTAGATAACGAAAGCGTTGTTAATGGGTTCTAGGTTCAAAAAACATGCCAAAGGTGATGGGTCCAAATGAAAATATTCGAAATATATCGAATAATCAGTTTATATGAAAGATAAGGCAATCATTCTTCGAAATGTGCAAAAGATAAAAGGACCTGAAAATGAACTTTTCACTGAACGAAATCTTTTTCAAATCTAGAAATTAAATATTCTAATACAAAAATGTATTTGTCTTGCGTAATCTCAACTCGAAATCAAACAACGGTTTTCATTCAAATACTTGAATCAATCGGCAATTTGAACGGACATCAAAAAATGAATTGCTACTGAGAGATGCACCATATGAAGGAGAAAGTTTCTGAAATAAACCAAGTAATGTTCAAAGTAATCTTTTCTATATCAATCTTTTCATTTAAGGGTATTGGTATTCCAGATTTTGCCGACGGTTTCGCACAATTCTTATTCTAAAATTCCCTTTTTGATAATACTTCAAATATCAAATAATGGACTATTTTTTTTCTGAAGGAAATCATAATTTTCATGGACTTTGCTCAGAATTGTCATCTTTCACGATCTGCAAAATGAAAATTGCAATGGAAAACTTCGTGAACCTGTAGAAACGGCAAACTTTTTGAGTTCACACCGTCAAGTGCATAAATTCAAATAATTTTTCACAAGTAATATACACTATTCATCAGTAACAGATTGTATACCCAGTCATTTATCGCGATAAACCAAAAATCTTATTCTGCACATGTACATGTGTAGTTCTCCATTACAATTTCTATTTCTCCAGATTTTAGGAGGTGAATTTCTCCAGAAAAGTCTATAAAAACTCAATATTTCCATTATCTGTAGAAACACTCTAAACTTTCACATAATTTCAAAAACAATGCTGTTATAGCTCTATTATATACGAAGAGCGGTTGTATATCACGGCGATTCATCAAAAATACTCGTAATCACTTAGGTTATTGTTTAATTCCCTGAAATGGATTGTGTCTTTAGTAAATAATGAGACAGAAGAAAATGTATTTATGTGAAATATTCACGGATGTTGGCTCCACTATGCTCAGACAATTACTTATGCTTTTGTTTTGAAGACTTGCATGGAGCTTTATAAACTTGTTCACCGACTTGCTACGTTTTAGAAGAATATTGGGTTGAAATTTTAATGAAAAGTCGGTTTTTCATAAATTACTCAGTACGTTATTCATCAGATTTGATGGAACTTCATATTTTTCATTGTAGTTATAAGTGAATTTTCATGTCAATTGTCTATGATTTATTGCACCTAATTCAGGGCTTTCAGATGCTAGAGAGGCCCATCTTTTGCTGATGAAATTATGACTGGCTGAAATATTTATTAACGTATTCAAGTAACTCTTTATTGTGAGATTGTCACTGGACAGTTTACAAAATCCCAACACGTGATTCACTAAACAGTAGCTTCCTCAAGCGTGTTGATTTAATGTTCACTCAATTCTACCCGATCAGGTATAAACTAATCAAAAATTGAAATATTGAAGAAATTTCACAAACTCATCAAATGGGCATGTAATAGATATTTTCGTCGGATGAAAAAGTCCACAATGGAGTAAAATATTGAATTAGTAGCAATTCCATTGGCAGATAAGCCTCTTCAACACCTAAAAGTCCCAAATTGAACGTAATACGGGTAGTGATATAAAATTTCACTGAAAAGATCGCTATATTCTCGAGCTGGATCCAGGATTTCCTTTTGACACAAAGATCTTTCTATGGTCTTTTCCGTAGATCCTAGATTAGATTATTTAAATATTACTAGTATATTGCAACCGTATTCTCGAATATATTCCAATTGTTAGAAAATAATTCATTTTAATCTCATTAATATCAAAATGAGTCTCAACATTCATTCATTTTTTTTGTAATGATAACTATACGACTTCAAATAAGTTTCATTAAAAATAGAAGAAAAATGAACGCTGGTATGTTATCTCACGATGAGATGAAGAAGGTGAAAAATATAAATGAGTTGCTGAAACTCGAGGTTCACTCAATTCTACCCGATCAGGTATAAACTAATCAAAAATTGAAACATCATTGAAGAAATTTCACAAACTCATCATATGGGCATGTAATAGATATTTTCGTCGGTTGAAAAAGTCCATAATGGAGTAGAATATTGAATTAGTAGCAATTCCATTGGCAGATAAGCCTCTTCAACATCTAAAAGTTCCAAATTGAACGTAATACGGGTAGTGATAGGATTTCCTTTTGAAACAATAATCTTTCTATGGTTTTTTCCGTAGAACCTAGATTAGATTATTTGAATATTACTAGTATATTGCAACCGTATTCTCGAATATATTCCAATTGTTAGAAAATAATTCATTTTAATCTCATTAATATCAAAATGAGTCTCAACATTCATTCATTTTTTTTGTAATGATAACTATACGACTTCAAATAAGTTTCATTAAAAATAGAAGAAAAATGAACGCTGGTATGTTATCTCACGATGAGATGAAGAAGGTGAAAAATATAAATGAGTTGCTGAAACTCGAGGAAATGAATTATTCGTAAAAACTATATCATTATAAAAGTTTTCTCTGGAATTATGTGAACTGCATCTATATTTCTAACGAACAAAAATAATTTGATTGCATACTATGGTATAATGGTATTTTTTTTACTCCATCAATGTATTTGTTGATTCATCAACTGAAGGGTATTATCTATTTTGAATAAGTAGTTTCATATTTTCACATAATCAATTTTTATTATATTTTTATGTTCCTCACGTCACATAATAATTTCAGATATGTGCCGGAATCGGCCGATACTTCATGGAAATCCATAAAGTATTCAAAAGACACGTATAGAGAAACACGTGTTGCGTTTTTGTAAAACTGTTGAGTGAAAATTTCATAATGAAGTGTTTCTTGAAAATAATAATTTCAGTTACGTATTATGAAAATAAAATCAGAATAACACTCAGTCTTGATGACTGAAGACTTTCATGAACGGTTCACAAAACCGCAACACGTGTTTTACGTGTTCAGGCGTGTTCATAATTTTTGTGTTCATACTCCTTACGATCAAGCCTGAGGCAGCTTTTGTATAGTAAAACACGTGTTGCGGTTTAGTGAACCGTTTGGTAAAATATCACAATAAAGTGTTTCTTTAATAAAAATCAAAAAATTTTGAAGTTGGACAAGAACATATAAACTGCACTACCATCGAAGTACGATTTACTGCCTTGTTCACGGGAGAGAACGGCTTCTGACACCGTCAGATCTGTTCACCGGTTCTTTGTGGTATGGGAAGAGACAGATCCCAAAACGAAATAAACTTGACTGATGCGTGTTTATACACTTCAGTGTATGGAAGCTTTGATAAAAGCTTGATAAAAGTTATTATCACTAGATGTCCTAGTGATAATAACTTTCAAGTAGATACCTTTTTTAAATACTGCACCAACCATCTCATATGTGATGAGTGCCAGGAAGGTAAGTACCCCGCTCCAACCGGAAGAATAAATGTTATGTTGAACTTTTTTAGTGAAATAATTTATTTTTGTGAATGGTTCATAAACCATTTAGTCGAATATGTATGGACACGTTTTCACAAATTTTAAATCACATCCACAAATTGTATTTTACTTTTACCAGATATTACCCTTATGAGACATTTTATATTTCAGTTTTTAATATTTGATGGATTGTATAAATGTTTCATCACCATTTTCAATCGTTTATTGTACTATTGTTATTGATAATTCAATATATTTTCTCATGGTTAACTATCTACTGCTCTATGTGATTAGGAAGTCACATACCAAGTAAACAATATCTTTATGAAATACGCAGTATGCTTGTGAAAACTCTTTGTGGATACCTGTAACGTTACAGACCTAAGTAGTCAAATTTTCCTGATACAATCATTTGAGTTTTGGGAAATCATCATTCACTTCTTTCAACCAAATGAAAAATTCAGCAAAAGGAAGAAAACATA